TGTGTGTGTGTGTGTGTGTCTCTGACTGTGTGTGTGTCTCTGTGTGCGTGAGCGAGTGAGTGCGAGTGTCTATATGTGTGAGTGTGTGAGTGACTGCGTGCGTGCGTGCGTGCGTGCGTGTGTGTCCGTCTGTGTGAATCGGTGTGTGCGCGAGTGCATCTGTGTGTGTGCGAGTGCGTGTGTGTGTGTGTGTGTGTGTGTGTCTGTCTGTCTGTCTGTCTGTGTGTGTGTGTGTGCATCTTACAGCATTGTTGAACAATTCGAGGGTGACGGCTTGAGCGGGGCTCCTGGTGTTGAGATACTGAGCGTAGATGGTGGCATAGAAGTTCACCAAATCACCGGAGACCTGCAACACAATATAAAGATTAAAACCAGCACTATTATACAGACACCTCTGTGTGTGTGTGTGTGTTACCTGGTCGCTCCACATGAAGGCCATCACACCGGCTGCGATTTCAATGATGATCAGAACGGTCAGCAGGCCAGAAAACTGAACCCCAGAAAAACAGAAATGTTTATTCAGCACATAAACCTAGTTGATCTCATTCAGAAATAACACTCTATCCCAAGTCTCAGATATGCACGAGGGAAAGCCATGACTTGCCCAGCTTCTCATCAGATGAGGTTTGTGTTTTACTGCTTTGGGAACAAGTGAGAGTTTTGTCCTTCTGTGCTCTGAATGCTGAAAGTGTGTAACAGCTGTGTTTCAGTGTGAACACGTGTAACTCTGAGTGAGTGTGAGGTGTTTGCAGTGATGATGATGATGATGCTCACCACGCCGAGAGCTGGTTTGCTGTTGTTGCAGGCGCCGCAGTCACCGATGATGGCCACCAGCAGCATCAGGACCCCCGTGACCACCAGCACCATCACTCCTGCGGACACACAGAGTCATGGCTAGACATCACGCATCTCAACATGAAGCGATGGCGTCTATTAGATGTCTTTAAGACGTTTCCCAGATAGCACACGTACATCTGCGAGACGTCTGTTAAAGATCTCTCGATCTGGAAAGCATCTGCGGTGTACAAGCATCTGGCAGACATCTGTTTTACATACATTCTAAACCATAAGCATCCTAAAGACATCTGATAGGACACGTCCTGCAGACGTACAGCAGATGAGCAAACACTCTAAAAATAGGTCTCTGAGATGTACGTGGAACTCCACAGAGAGACACAGCAGCAGAACACACCGATGTTGAACTCAGGGCTGCTCAGATCGATGTCGAAGAAGCCTCGGGTCTCCGCGCCGAACCGGAGCCACATTCCCAGAGCCACCAGACCGAGCCCCACCAGCTGAAAAACATCCAGCACAGCTCTCAGAAACACTGAACACTGAACACTCTGCTGTGCCTTTACTGAAACACCAGCAGCCGTGCATTCACACTGGAAAGTTGGCAAGATACTCAGATTCGACTTTTCCGGATCTCTGTATAAAATACACTGATTGATTGATGATTTTTAAACATTCAGTGGTATTTTCTCCACATTCAGTCCACACACCACTGCTCGGTGAAGCTATTAACCGATTTGTCCAACAACAGTGAGTTTATTGAATATTAAAAATCATAAAAACCATCCGAACGCGATTATTTTCAGGACAGCTGTTGCAGAGAGAGCAGCGGTGTTGGTGACGCTGTGTAGTTACGCAGTGTGTGTTAGGAACTTTTGTCGCACTTTGCAGACGGTCCCTTCGCACTGGTCTCTTTGTTTCGAGCAAAACTTCACTCCGAAAGAACAGAGGCGTCAGCTGTGTCGTAAAAGCGTTTTGCTCGAGTTATTGATCCGGAGAAGTCGAA